AAAGGAAGACTACTTAGACAAGTAAATTGATTGACAGGACATGACAAAGCTAAGGAAAAGGTACGAAGGTGGAGGACAGTCACAGAATGAATTTGTCGCAGTGAAAAAAGAAACTGCCTTACTTTCAAACCCATTTCCATGGCTTTTAGCCGCAATTTCTCCTCCAACTCATCGGATCGAACGCCCTGAAGGACAAGGGGACTTTCTCCAGCGGGTCGATCAAGAGGGAAGCGGGCCAGAGTGAGGAAACCGTCTAATTGAGCTGCATGATGCTTAACCAGTTCTACTGGACCAGGAAACTTACGACCTAAAAGATAATGACGAATGACAGGTGTGTACATATTCACATTTTACAAACAATAGAAGTGTCAGAAGAGGAAAATTTGATGGACTGTGCTTGAGAGAGAGATTGGCACACGACTATCTCTGTCTGACAGGGCGGTAGGGTTTGTAGATCAATTTAATCTATCCTTTTGGAAATGACAGTGGACAGAGGCATGTGAGTTTCTTCAACAGTTAACTGTACCCTTCTATGTACTTTTTGGTGGCTTGTTTATGTGACATGAGGTCCGATGTAGAGCCTCAGATGAGATGAAGGAGCGTGAGAAAGGAACATTAGAATGTTTTTGCAGGTGTAAAGACAAGCATGAAGGCGAGCACGCCTTGAATGGATCCTCGACGCTGATTGGTTCGTGTCAGGTGGGTGCAACTGATGGCATCACTATCCACCTCAACCGTGGCGGAGATGGCGGATTTTAGCTTCAAAAAGTGAGGCAAGCATGTGGTAGGTTAATTTTTTCTCTAATTTTTTTTTTAAATTTTGAGTTGCAAAACGCATACAGGCTTCGTTGACTTAAAACTCGTGATTTGCATAGACTACCAAATGGAACGTCATCGGTGTCAGTGTCTGGCTCACATCTTTTACTCCTTATGGTGGAACGTAAGAAAACCTTTCCAACCTCTGACCACCTCTTCTAGTATACGGGGAGAGGGAGATCATCAAAAAGTCAAAAGCGGTTACCAAACGCGTAGGATAGTCAAGGTGTAGGTGAAAAATCGAGCTGAATTTAAATTTTGACTTATTATTGACAAGAAGGCGGTAAAAAGGGCGCTCCACTTCAACTTCTCAAGGATTTTAAATCCATATTTTTTTCTCCTAGATAATCGAATTGAATGTTTGTGGGAGGGAGGCAAGGCGTAGGGGGGAAAAGGAGGGAGAGAAGGACCAGGTAAGTCAACAGAAGTGATGCTGAATATTTCACCAGAAGGCAAGACAAAAGGGAGTACGCTTATCTGACTCAAGAGATCGCTGTGCTGCGCTGTCATCTGCTTGGCAATAAGTCGTCTTTATGGCGGCGCAATGTAGAATGAAGGTGTAGCCTTGACAGGCACTTTGCTTTTGCCAAGGAGAGCATCTACTAAGGTATTTGGCATTCGCCTCACCTATAGGTCTTGGTCCTAAGCCTCGCATTTCTTTCCTCCCTCTTCTTCTTGCCCCGTAGATAGTCAAGTAAACTTCTCCACTGATGGAAATGGCTTAGATTTTGGAAGGTTCATTACAATTTGTGATTGGTTTCATTCGATCTGACCTAGGCTAAGAGTCCAAGACGTGGAGTCCAGTTTTAAGTCCG